CCTCCTCCATGCAAACCCCAATCCCTTCTAGCACTGACGATGTTACTTAGTTAGGTTATGAAACGTCCGCAAGAAAACAGCCAAGCTCAGAGAGCACCAAGGACCCCCTCATTTCAACCCTGAGCTACAAAGATTCTCCTTTATCGGTATTGAAAGCTTGAACCCCTCCAATAAATGCAATTTCCTTTCCTTCCCACCCACCCCCCGCCCGCTCCCCACCCAACAGTTCAGGTGTTATGGCTCCATTTAGCCAGGAGATGGAGACCGGGAGTAATTTAATGCCGAGAGATAGATTAGCCTCAGGACTCAGGCAGGAGTAGATAAAAGCTCCATCAGTGATCTTTAAATAAAACCATCTATCAGAAAGCTTTTAGATTCTCCACTCTCCTTCAGGGGAGAATTAAGCAAAATGCACAGGCAGGGGGGGTACCCAAAGGCCAGCGGCAACATCCTGTACATTGCAGAATCCGGTAACACCGTATATAATATCATTCAGAAATACTGTTAAGCGTTTGCAGAGAGAGATCCATTAGCCACCGGCTCCAATCCAGCGTCCAAGCGGCCAGAATTGCAGAAAAAGCATAATGCAATAAGCACAGCATTAGGATAAATATATATATAAACAAAGAGGAGTTGGTCTCTTTCCAGCCAGTTCTGTTTCCAACTCTGCGAAGACGACTCGCAGCTGCTTCGCAAATAAATGTGGGAAGAAGATGACAAACGTTGAAGCCCGTCCAAAAGTGGCTAAATGTGGAGGCTTGTTTGGCAAATAAAGAAACTCTCTTTTTTTTCCCCGGGAGCAAATCAGGACGCGTGTGGTTTTTATCCTGGCCTTCGCCGCCGTTTCTTCCCATCCCTGAGAAAAGGAGATGTTCAGCCATTTGTCGCAGCGAAAGAACCGATAATTCCAAATAATTTCCTGGCAACCAAAGTCGCGTTTTCTTTTTTTCTGGGACCCTCCGTCTCTTTCAGAGCGCAGTTGCTTAAAAGCAAAGAAGCTTCCGGTTTTTTTTCAACCGCGAGGACATCTTGAGTCCTGCTCAATTCCTCCTGGCTTTTTGAACCCATCTACATGTAGCTCTCGACTTACAATTCATTTAGCGACCGTCCGACGTCACGACGGCGCTCAAAAAGGCGATTGACGGCCGTTTTTTCTCACCCAACCATTGCCAGCGTCCCCCTGGTCACGTGATCAGACTTCGGATGCTCGGCAACTGGCATGGACGCATGACGGTTGCAGTGTCCCAGGGTCGTGCGATCCCTTTTCGCCAGCTTTTTGACAATGGGAAACGCCAGACTGACTTAACAACCGCGGTGACGGACTTAACGACGGCCGCGACTCGCTTAAACCCCTGCGGCCCGCAAGGACGCACAACGGAGCGAAATTCACTTTCACAACCAGCCTGGCTTGGCCACAATTCAAAAGGAGCCATCTTTCGGGACCTCGTTTTGACTTCCTCGCCTATTTTATGGCTGCCGTCCCCCATCCAGACGGGAGCCCTAGTCGATCCTGCTTAGCTGCCACCTGTTGAGTTTGCTTTGTGGAAAACAAAATTTGGAAACGCATAATAAACGGGAGGCGTTCAGACCGGTTTCTTCAATTATATGCTTTCCCCCAAATGATTGTTTGCTCCCAGGAAGGGAAAGGAGGGCATTAAATCCAGCTTCCAGCCCGAACGCACGTCACTCTCACCAGGACAAAGGGCCCAGTGTCGTCTTCCACAGGAGTATTTCACAAAGGTTTTTCCCAACTAAAAATACCTCTGGGGTTGGGGGGGGGGGAAAGGTATTATGCAGAAAAGCCGCTGCCTTTTCTGCATAAGAGAGAGAGAGAGAGAGAGAGAGAGAGAGAGAGAGAGAGAGAGAGAGAGAGAGAGAGAGAGAGAGAGAGAGAGAGAGAGAGAATAAAGCTGCAAAACTTTGCAGGAAAAAAAAGAGATTTTTTCCTCCATATTTTTCATTAGCACGAAAAAAAATGCATACGTTTCTGGCTCGGCCCAGGAAGAGAGAAAAATCATCGTGACTTGCAAGTTTGCTTCTCCCGTTCGAAGTATTCCACGGGAAAAAAACAGTAGAAAAGCATTCAAGAGGCATAAACAGACATGTATATTATTTCCCACAGCCGAAAGGAAAACAAAAAAAGTTGAGGTGGTTTAAGTGGGTTGCATTATTCAAAGGAAAAGTACACAATCTACATTTGTTTCCAGTTGGATTCTGCCCTTGGCTTGGAAAGAACGAAACGTGGATTTTGCTTTGGACGATCAAGATAGCTTTGTTTTTATAGAAATGGCAAGCGCAACTTAAGGACCAACTTTATCATTATTATTATTAAGAAGAAGAGGAGGAGGAGGAGGAGGAGGAGGAGGAGGAGGAGAAGGAGAAGGAGAAGGAGAAGGAGAAGGAGAAGGAGAAGGAGAAGGAGAAGGAGAAGAAGAAGAAGAAGAAGAAGAAGAAGAAGAAGAAGAAGAAGAAGAAGAAGAAGAAGAAGAAGAAGAAGAAGAAGAAGAAGAAGAAGAAGAAGAAGAAGAAGAAGAATAATAATAATAATAATAATAATAA